AGGGTTGTATCATACCTTAACTGTACTTAAATGTAAACTGTATTTACCAGGAGCATTTCTGTTAGCTGGAGCTGTCTCCCACATGTACTTCAAAGGCTGGAGATACTTCAGTGTGTGGCATGTTGGTTTTTTTTCCTTTGAAGGTTTTGAAATATCTGTAGAGCTGTTGTAAGAAAGAAAGAAAACCAATGTTTAAATATATAAATTATTTCAATACATTTAAAACATTTTTAAAGCATGCATTTCACAGTCAGCATTGTTTAGTATACTCCAAGATTGTTAGCAGAACTGAATGTGAGCATTTTTGTTTGAAGTGATGGAGAGGTTGAATACTCTCCTTTCTTTGCCTTCCAAAAGACTACATTGCTTTTAATTAGCTGTAGTCTTTTTGCTAAGTAGAATGAAATTTCCCAGCTGTGTAGGCGATGTGGGCCAGCAGAAGGTGTTGGAAGTTGGAAGCACTGAGACTGTTTCCAACAAAAGCATTCATGAGCCAATTTCATGTTGTGAGTAAAATAGCAGTGAAGTGTTTAGCTCTGTTTGCAGATCTGGACTGCAACCACATCTTTCTCTGGCCAAAATGTGCTGTTTCTGGCTTTTAAACTTAACTGTAATAAAACATTATTATTGAGAATTTTCCGATTTCCCAGTGCAGTTACTGATCTGAGCAGCAGTGCCATTCCTGTATTTACGAGGAATATCAGCTAGCATTTTAGCTTGATCCTTCCCTGATGCTTGCTTGACAGGTTAATTTGGGTCTTTCTCTAGAATTATTCATGGAAGATCAAATGGCAAAATCAGTGAGGCCCCTTCTGCAAGCTGATGGTCTTTTACTGTGTGCATCAATTACATTTTCTGCTCTGTTGCATAGTTGTGCTAGAGCTGCATTCAGACTGAGACCACACAGTCTCCTCATGCTTACAGCTGATTTTACTGTGTACTGTAACTCATGCATAAGTTGACTGCATGTTTAACATCTTAATTGCTTTTTGCCATCTAGAACTTCATTTGGAAACATGAGCTGGAAAAATATATGGAGAGTGATATAGCTTCTAAATTTAACTTCTGAATTGTGATTAGATTTTTGTCTCCTTTTTTTTGTTGAGCATAGTTCGTTCACCTCCTCAAAATAGTCACACGCAGTTATTTAGCACTTCTGCACAGAAAGAAATGTCTCTTTAGTGCTAAAATCAACAACCACATTCTCTCAGGTGTGCAATCCCATCATGGCAGAAACAAGATAAATGCTACATTTCAGAGTATCTTGTAGGAAAAGAGCAGCATAGAGCCAATTCTTGAATATCCTTCTTAGCACATAAAGTACATAGATTGAATGCTCAGGTGTTTTTTAATATGTATGTATGTATATATGATCCTACAGTAAAAGAAAGGTACACTATTCTGCTGATTTAATAGCTCCATGAGCATTACAAATGTTATTTTAATTTTACCTTCTGCATATCTACTTATGCAGGATTAAGTACTCTGACTTTAAGCAATTCACTGGAAAATATTTTTCTCAGTTTTTCCTGTTTTTCTTAGTTATAAAAGCACTGCAATCCTAAAAAAAAAAGTGGTTTTCTTACTCTGCAGTTTGAGTGGTGTAAATCAGATGTCAAAGACAAATCATTCTCATATATATGTTATCAGAATGTTTGGTTCTCTAGTTCTTTTTTGTCTTCAAGCCTTAATTATTTTTTTTGCAACATTAATTAAAGTATTAAAATTAGTACTTTAAATGTGGATTGCACACAACTGGCCAGCTTGCCTAATTGGACCAAATGATTAGGGCAGTGAGAGTTAACTCATGCGGCAAAAAAAGGTTTAGGAAAACTTAATGTTATGGAGTGATCTTTCAGAAAAATAGAAGATGAAATTTCTGATTCAAATAATATTAAAAACATTAATATTTGGAACCAACCTAAAGTACACATATTGCATTAATGGTACTGAAATTAGCTATTAGCATTTAGACAGTAGGTCTTGGAGCAATGCTGTATATCGGTCCCTGAAAATTTCTCTTCAAACTTAGTAACAGTCAAAATTGAGCCCCAGGAAGAATAATGAGCAGAAAATGTCTTATGGTGCTGCATATCCGCTTGCAAAATTCATGGTGTATTCACGTATTGAAGTTTGCGTGCTGGTCTGGATTTCTTTCTCAAAAGAGAAAGATAGAAATTACAGAAAGAAAAAAGACCAGTAATTAAGAGTAAAATACAACTTCCATTTATGAGGAGATCAAGTCCACTGACAGATTTCACATTAGGTGAAACATATCTGAACAATTTCCGAGTTTTATATAACCTTGAACAGTGTGGAAAAGAACACAGACTGTTTATTCTGTTTCTTATGGTGCAAGGAATCAGGGTATCAAACACAGTTTTTCAACCTGGAAAATTTAAAAAAATTTTAAAACTGTTGGACATTCTTTTACGCCAGCAGCCTGTGAAATCATTTAATGAATTCTTGGCAAAAGCCCCCTGAAGCACTATCAGAGCAAAGGTATAGACACAGACTTTGACTTGGGAAGTCCCTTGGCTGTTGAGGAAATATTGCTGCCATTCCCTCACTTATTTACTCTTTCCTTAGGCGTCAGTTGCTTATAGTGGTAGTCAGAGGCAGAGTAGTGAAAAATAGACATTGCACCTGATGCTTTTATCCTACCAATATCATGCACCATGCACGTATAAGTATTTTAAAATAAAAATATAATTTAAGGACTGTTTGCAGGGCTTATGTGCCTGATTTAGTAGATGAAGGGAACTGGTTTTAATTAAAATATAATATCTGTATATGTTTCCTGAAAAATTATTAAAATCAGAAGTGAAAGTGTATGTCCAGACAGAAGTTATATGTTATTGGTTGGGGACTATCTGTTATTACTCTGCCAGTCTAGGTGCTGATTTTCTTTATTTTCAGCTTCAGTATCCTGGTTTTACCTTTTGAGCACACAGGGCCCAGCAGTTCTGATGAACAGGGTCAAATTGCGTGGGATACAGTAGGAGCTCATTTGCATTCGGTTGCACAAGACTGCAATTGCTATCCTTTCTGAGAGAAACAATAACGTTTTACAAGACTGATTTTTAATTGCATCCCTTACTTGGGTGCAGAGCAATCTCTGGAGGATGCATTTTCTCTTAAAATGAAAAAAAAAAAAAAAAAAAAAGCAGTGCAAAATGATCGTGTTCAAGGTAGAAGCAGTGTATATTTGGAACTTGCTTGCTGGCTTATCTTCCTTGTTTATTTTTAACTGAAGAAATACTGTATCTGAGACAACCTTGTAAGAAAACAATGGGTTTTAAAGAGATCCTTCAGTATAAGAGACTAGGATTTTTTTTTGTTCTAGTTCTACAAAGCAAATAATAATGATTATGGTTTCGTAGCTTCAAAGTGAGGTAACTGACATTTTATTCTGTTTTGCAAGCTCTTGGATAAAGAAATTGCATGTATCATATGATTATATTTTATTTCATTAGTGGTATAACTATAGTAAACTTAGTATTAATAAAAGCCAGAATGCATGTGACAGGGCTTGAAAGCAAAAGTACTTCTAATTCACTTGGGGTTGTGTTTCATTATATACCTTGCATGGAGATCCATGAGCTACTATGAAAGCCTAAGTGAAAAGAGCATGTTTATTGTCAATGAGTTTGAACTTACAATGCTTCTGCTGTGGAATTTTTAAAGGCTCTTAATCTCAAAATGGTTGGAAAAATTGAGTTTGGGCACCTTCTTCAACTGTTTTTTGCCGAAAAGTGGCAACGTTATGTTAGACAAGAAGTTGCAAAGGGGCTCTCAGTTCTTGTGTGCATCCACACCCAGCTTGGACACAGTGGGGTACAGTGCCAGAAAGTCACATGGCATCACTGATCCTTTGTTTTGAAATAATTCACTACTGATTAGGGATGTTTCCAGTGCATGACATGACTTGAAATGGGAGCAGTAAATGCATTAAAATTTTGTGTGGTGTGGGTCCCCTACATCAGAGTGTAGGTGTGGGTTTACAGCTCTTGGTGAAAGATAATGGTGCAGCTGAGAGGCAGTAGAACATGGAGCTCTCCTGTGGGTGCTGATGTCTAGTGGATTTATTGAAGACCTGCCCCAGCCACTCTTGGTGACTGGGGTTTGCTTCCTTGTATTCCTGCCAGGTACATATGCTATTCAGAAATTAACTTTCTTCCTTTTACTGATAATTTTCAGGGTGCAAGATGGTGGGTTGGTTATATCTTTTATTTTGTCTAATCAGATTTGGTCTACTTAGAGTTATGTTCTGCATAGTGCAGCAAAAAGAAAAGTTTTTCTGTATTTATCCACGTATGACTTGTTGTCCTGTGGGTGTTTATTTACTAAGGAAGTTGTTGCATGGTATTTGAGTGAAAAGTTGGAGGTGGCTCCAGCAGTTTTGTTCCATTGCACTGGCAAAAACCCTAAATATCTTTTGGCTTTGAGAGGAAAAGGAAAGAAACACAGAAGTTATGGTAGTGATTATTCTTCTCTGAGAATTCTGCTTATGGCTGGAAGATTATTTAGTGGCTTATGCCAAGTGGAATAGCTGCAGTGGAAGACAGAAAAGCAAGTAGAATATTGATCAAACCAAAGCAGCCTGGAAGGTACTGTTTCATAAAAATTTCTTGTCTGAGAAGAAATGTTTGGATATTTCCCCCTGGAAGGTGTCAAGGGATGGAGAGAAAGGCGGTTTTTTTAATGTTTTTTCTTTCCTTTGGAAAACATTTTTGATAGGAAGCTGAAACATATTTTGAAGGAAAAACCTCCCAGCTGAGTTTGATAACTGATGTGTGAGGGCAGTAGTTCAAAGTTGTGCCTCTCTCTGTCCAGACAGTCAAGGCTTTCAATTTAGAATCATATAATAGTATGGGTTGAAAGGACCTTTAAAGGTCATCTAGTCCCATCCCAGTGCAATGACCAAGATCATCTTCAACTAAATCAGAGATGCTCAGAGTGCTTCCCAGTCTGATCTTGATGGTTTCCAGGGAAACAACCCCTCTCTGGGCCACCTGTTCCAGTATCTCACCACCCTCCTTGTAAAAAACTTCTTCCTTATAACTAATTAAATTGATCTGATTTGGTACATTTAGGTCTGAACTCTAAAGGCAGAAGTTCTGAAGGATACTGCAAGAATTGTCTTTATAAAACTTTAGTACCAAAAATGTAAACGTTTGTAACATTTTGAAAAAGACCAACTTCTAACTCTTACAGGAACCGAATGCCTCCTAAGCAGTTTTGCCAATGCTCACGTACTTTTTTGGCTGCCATTTTTCAGATACAGTCATATTTGTATGCCTGATAATGCTACAACTTATCTGGTGATATGAATTACTCATTCTATAAATTTATGCAACATAGGAAAAACATGGATACCTGATCCTAACTGTATTATTCTGTTCAAGATGGTTCCCCTTAGCTGTGTTTATAAGGACTCCTGTAAAGTTATAAACCTCCTTGCAGGTTACAACCTCCGTTTCTGTCTGTGGTGTGGTATGAAGAGATGAAAGCACAGCACTGTCTGGCTGCTAGGTTATACTGCAATGCACATTACTGATATTAAATAAGAGATGAATGCACAGCTAATATTTTCCCTGTTCTGCCCTTTTTTTGTGCTAAATGGATGAGGTCAGCTCTCCCTGCTGAGGCAGGCTCCTTGGAAAGTCAAAATGGTGTTGCCTGAGTAAGGAAGAAAGAAGAGCATCAGAACTCTGTTTCTGGTCTGCAGAATACTAACAGAGAAAACATAATATGCCATTACAGAAAGACTTTGTGGCTGATGCTCAGAAAATCAAAGTAGGTTGAAAATTACACAGATGCAACTTGACAGTCTTACTTTAAAAGCAGGGCTGTCCAAGAGTCTGTTGAGTGTACCAGACTTAGAAAGGAAGCAACTACAAAAACAAAATATAGGCAGATGTTATGATTCTAATAAAGGCTACATTTGAGATTTCATTTGTTGTTTTAAGGAGAGAATAAAAAAGTATATGGAAATTTAATTTATTTCATAGTACTGGTTCTCAACCTATCAGGTTTTGTTTCCTAATTTTTTAATCCATTAGTAACCTAAGTGCTGTAAGAGACCATTAAAAATCTTAAAAGGTTTTAATAGTAGTTAGATAGTATGATTTGTATTTACTGCAAATATTTAATTGCAATTAAAATCAAAGGCATTTTTTAGAAACATGAGGTGTTAGCAAAAAGTTCTGTTAGTACAAGTTCTGAATACTATTATTATTTATATTTTCTGTTAAAGTCTTAGCTATAAGGATATACATATGATTTAATGAAATTCCTCTGATATTTGAAACCGGAGATGGAATGCTTTTGAGCTCTAATTCCAGTTTTTCACTGTAATATGTAGCATCCAGAAAATTATTTCTGCGAGCTTAGAAAGTGTAGTAGTAATCTTCTATAATTTGGTTTCCTTCTGATTGCTCTTATTGGAATATCTATACATTTTCAAGAAGGATTTAGTATGATGGAAGCAACCCTTCCTCCAAACTTAATTAATCAGTCCTTTAGGTGACTAATTAGACGTGCTGAATTTTCAGTGAGGTGTATTGTTTCTCTCTAGGTCGTCACGCCTATCTTACCCAGCTGATATCTGTAAACTGAAAGAGGATATTGCTACAGTGCATGGTTCCTAATGAAATTCAAATTAAATAATCACCTCAATTATAGATCAAATACTCAGGTTCAACAATTATCCAAAGAGCTTCATTGTAAACCCACAGTCATGTAACTACTCCTTTCTCTTTCTATCTGAATTTATAGCTGTCTCACACAAGACGTAATTTAGATTTAGTTTAAATGGTGCTCTAAGTTTCTTCCATTATCTCAGCCTGGAACAACCTGTGTCTATTCCTGGAATATGATTTCATTATTCTTGAACTGTGTTACCTACAGTGTACGCTATCTTTTCTACACTGAACATTTTCCAGGAAAAGCTTTTTCAGTTCCTGTTAGTGCTGAGACGTTTGAGTCAGCTAAACATGGAAGGAGGAAGACTTTGGCTGATGTATTCATTCCAGTTCTGGTAATTATCTTTGAAGATCATTCTTATTTATTCACAGATTATACCAAGTTTTTGGGATGTCCAATTTTATATTTATAATATAGAATTATACTGTATTGTGTAGATTGAGATGTTGGTACTGGGTGGAAGAAGGAACAGCTGAAAGCTTTCCATACTCCTGAGTCACTGTCACTACAAGACTACCTATTTACAGGGATGACATTCTGGTGAAAAGGTCTGGGTTTTCAGAGACTTGATCAAAAACACATGGAAATTCCTTTCTCACAAAGGCATTTAATTTTTCTTGTAAAATACCCTTGTGTCATAAATTATTTTCCCTTTTGTGATTCAAGCTCATTTTGATTTGCTGCTGTTATATGGAAAGTCAGATTTCTAAAAAATAATGGGAATTCTTTCTCCATGCTTATCCAAAAATTCAACTGTTTGAATGCTGAAACTATGCAGGAACTCTGGGCAGAAGCCTTTGGAGTAAGGGGCTAATCTGTGTGGCAGAAGAAGTAAGAGTAAACAACATATTAGGATCACAGATTATTCACATCATAACCACCTGAAACCTGAAAGGAGTTCTTTACTTCTAGTAAAACTTCTGAATGTTGGTTTCCCTTTGTGTTTTGTGTCATAATGTTTTGAGAATTTGTAGGTACAGCTGAAGTGCTAGATATGTGCTACTGACAACGTGCCTAATGGAAAAAGTGTGTACTGGCTTCTGGGTTCTTTCAGAAGAGAATTTTCCCTTGGATTTCAGTGGAGGTACAATGCTGGCAGTGCCTTTAGACTGAAAAAGTCAATTTATTGATCCACAGTGCAAGCATAGAATCCTGTCTTTTGGGTTGGAAGGGACCTTTAAAGGTCATGTAGTCCAACCCTGCTGCTATGGACATGGATATATTTAACTAGATCAGGTTGCTCAGAGCCTCCACCCAACCTGTCCTTGAAGATTTCCAGGGATGGGGCATCCACAACCTCTCTAGGCAACCTATTCTGGCATCTCACTACATTTATTATAAAGAATTTCTTCACAATATCTAATCTCAACCAACCCTCCTTCAGGATCATTCCCCCTTGTCCTTTCACTTCATGCCTTTTTGAAAAATCCATCTCCAGCTCCCCTGTAGGCCCCCATCAGGTACTGGAAGGTGCTGTAAAGTCTCCCCAGAGCTGGCTCTTCTCCAGGGTGAACAGGGTGTGCAGACTCAGCCTTTCCTCATGGGAGAGGTATTCCATCCCCTCAGCCCTCTTCGTGGTCCTGCTCTGGACTTGCACTGACAGGTCCATGTCCGATTATGGAGATGAGCTGAGATGGGGAGAGCATGGTGCTAATAACACCACGGGCATGGACTGGATCCCCACACGGGCCATTCACATAAAGCCACACTCAGTGATCCTTGTTTATCCTGTACAACTCAGAATATTCTGTGATTCTATGTCTCTCCTCTGCTGAGGACCTCAGAGCTGGAGGAAATTCTCCAGATGGGATCTCATGAGTATGGACTGGAGGGGTCTCCAAGGGGTTGGTAAAGATTTGCTAAAGCCCTGCTGATCAAAGGTGAAGTGCTGAGGCTGGAGCAGCTTCTGAGGCTGAGACCAAGCTCAGGAGAATGCAAATTAAGAAAAGGCTGAAGGGTTAATTTGATGTTCTATCTGCAGCTGGTGCCTCGAGTATCTGTTGGCACAGGCGCTAGGAACAGGAGTAAGAAAGGAGGGGGTTAGCACTGCCTATCAAGGGGATAGCACAGTTAATTGGAAATTAATTTACAGGCAGTGCTAGCAGCCCATCAGCGCTTCCATCTGCTAGATCATTCAAGGCAGAGAGAATTACTTATCCTGGGGCCAAGAGGCAGAATGCAAATATGAGACTACTCCTCTCTTTCCTAAGAGAGTAACCCTACTGAAGCTATAGTGTTTTTCCAAGGGTCCCTGGAATTTCAGACCTGATCACGTCCATACCTGGTTGTTCCTGTTTCCTCTTCCACTTCAGAGAAGGCCGGGCAATGTAGCATGTGGCATCAGGAGGGGTCAAGAGGCAGGGACATGGCCTGGCACTGTACAGTTACTGCTGCTGGGTTTTTCCAGACACAGATTGCCCAGGGAAAGGGGATTTTGTCCATGGAGCCAGAAAGATTTAAGAGCTGGTGGAGTTCACAGTTCTAACACAGAAACCGGTGTTTTATTGTGTGGCTGTGTGATTTCCAAGACCCTTTAAGCTTAAGATGTGAAACCTCTTAAGCTACCCAGCATGATGTGCTGTTTGTAAAGATTTATTAGTTTTTCAGAGCTTCCACGCTTTCCCCTCCATGACTCCTTAAGGATTTTGAAAAAGCAAAATGAGTGTAACTCAAAAGTGGACAGGCAAACCTATTTGCCTTACCACCAAAGAAACAGAAGTGATGGTTGTGCCTGAAATAACTCAATCTGGAATTCTGTCATCTTTGAAACTTATGCTTGTAGCTGCCCTTTATGTTCATGCTGTCTTTCATGAGAATGTGGATAGTCTTGTATTCAGTATGTAGTCTCAAGCTTCTTGCCATATGCATGGCTCTGTGGGGTTAACCAGTAAAAATTGCCCATTTATAGGGAGGCAAGGAGAGCCCTGGTACCTTCTCACATGTTGTATTTACTTCACTGGTTGGTTTGAACCACGATGTAACACCAAAGAGCCAGTTTCTGTAGGCTGCTCAGGTGTGTCCTCGTGACCTACTGACCATGAAGGCAGTATCAAATTAATACTAAGCATGCATACACATACTTTGCTAAATGAGACTGATTAAAATCTGTGTGGGGTGGTCAGATGTATTAAGTTGAATTCCTTCTACTTCACTGCCAAATTACGGGGGTTTTTGTTGTTCACTGAAAATTATTACTCTTTTTTACCCTTCTGTTTATTACACAGATTTATTATTATTAATAATAATAATAATAATATTTACTAAGCTTACTTAAGTAGAAACAGTTATTCGAGATTTTAGCAGAGAAGAAAAATAATTACTGCAAATGCAGGAAAATTTTCTCTTTCCCTGATGCATTTGAAATGTAATTTTGTCTGGCAATTAGAGCCTATGAGAGACTTACTGGCTGGGTACATCAGGTTATAGCCATGATCAAACAGAGTCCACTTTAATTAATCTGATTATTGTACATTTTGTGGTGCTCTAAAATTGTTTAGATTCCCTGACATTTATTAAGAATAAACTTCTCTTTTACCTAGAGATGATTGCATGATGCAGAATTATTAATGGTTAGTCATAAGAAATTAATCAAGTTAGAGGCAACGTGAAGTGAGGGAATGAGCACTGAAGCAGAAGCTAAGTTCTTATGTTAATTTGATGCATGGACTTGGAAAAAAATCACTTACTTCTCATCATAGTCTCTTGATTTTCCTTCAGCTAAAGAAGGAATATTAATTTTCATCTCCCTACTTTACCAGTTTGAGGAGAATTAGCTAATACACGTTTATAGATAAAATGTTAGTGCTTCAAAAATGTAAATTTTGTTTTATCAAATTTTATATATGTATAAATATGTCTCTGTGTGCATCCAAATATTAATAAGGAAACTAGAGACCTGATTATGTTATTTCTATCTGTAGTTGCCAATCCATCAAATAGGAAGGAACATTATCTACTGTCTAATTCAGTGGCTTCTATCACCAGCAGGAGAAGTAAGGAGAACTTCAAGGAGAATTAATTGTTTTTTCAGGCCTTAGGTATACATGTAATTCAAAATTTTACTTGCTCTTAACTACTCACTGATTTATTTAGAGTGAAAAAAAATCACATCTATTGAAATATTGATGTTTTGATTTTATTTTTTAAGTAGTTTGCTTAAAATGACACAGTCCAGAAGGAGTCTAGGAGCAGAATTTGTTTCTTTTGGAGTGTTCATTTATTCCATGTAATTGCAAGGCTTTGTGACTGTTAAATAACTTCAGTTCACCTGTAGTGTAAGCTTATTTAAATTAAAGGCTCAGGCTCTGACATATACCTTTTTTATTTTTGTAAAAACCCATGTGCTTTCATTCCAGTGAAGTATTGTAATATTTTGACCACAGGAATTCTTTCCTCCAGGATGTGAAATGCTCTTTGAAGAAAACACTGAGCCTTGAAACAAGACAAGGCCTCAGTTGTGTTGTGTGTTACTTATTAAGTAATTGTACTTGTTTGAGGTAGCAAATATTAAAAATCATGGAGTCATGGAATACTTTAAAATAGAAGGGACCTCTGAATGCCACTGGTCCAAGCCGCTGTCCCCCTCAGCACCTGCATTAAACAAGGCTAGCTTCAAAGTTGGAACTAATTTCAGACCTACATCCTGTTACTTGGGCCGTCTATAAAATGTCTATGTTTTCTGTCTTCCTCAAAATTTATTGTGGTGGATTTCTTATCTAACATCACCCGGATGATGACCAAGTCATCGTCTACTAATCCCAGTAATGGTGTATCCACCTGAGTCAGTCCTTGATCATCTTGTCTAGATTTTCATGGACAGCAAGATTTCTCAATATGTTTTGGAGGTATATTTTGGGCAAGTGACAAAATAATAAGGAAATGTTTGCCTTGAACAGTGCCTAGACCATTTGACTGAGTTCCAAATAGCAATGTCACAATATTGTTTTACTATAGTGGAATCAAAAACAGTTTAGTATCCTATTTTGAAATAATGTTAATGCTCAGAAAAATAATGTTTATGTTCTATCTCTCAGAAAAAGAGTTGTACATGGGAAAAAAAAAAATAACCCCAAAAATGAACAAAGCAAGCAAAAAAACCCAAACCAAACATATTCCAGGAGACTATTTTAGGCCCTTTGTTCTTACAGTTTTTAACTTTCTGAGCTTTGCTAGCTTACTATGTATGCATTGGGAATGCAGGTTTATCACTTACATAAAATTTTGTAGAATATAAACTTTTCCTTATCCTGGTTGACCTTTCTTCTCCTTCTGCATCATCTAATTTAAATTTTTATTGTATGCACTCAAAATATAGACTTGGTGAAAATTACTGCATTGGACATCCATTTCTTACCTCACAATTAACCACGCCACTAAATTTGAGCTTGAAGGTTCTTCCACAGTCTTTAATGCATTGTGGCTTTATCTAGACAACAGTTCAATTGTTAGATGTAGAAAAAGCATAAAGCTGTCCCATTTTAGAAGACACAACAGGGTGACGGGTCAGGACAACCAGAACATACTGAATATCAGTCACAGCAGCTGTCTGTAGGTTTCCTAAGGTCTTCTTCCAGTGTCATCCCTTGGACTGAGCCTTCCTTAGCAAGGGGATGCACTAGACACTCGAGGAGCACGTATTTTGGTTTATAGAATAATTTAGGTTGGAAAAGACCCTTAACCCTCAACCATTAACCTAACACTGCCAAGTCCACCACTATGGACCATGTCCAGAAGTGCCACATCTATATGTCCTTTGAACACCTCCAAGTATGGGGGCTCAACTGCTTCCCTGAGCAACCTGTGCCCATGCTTGACTGTGGGTATTGGAGCCTGGGAAAGCAGAGTTCTCCCAGGCATTTGAAGGAAAACAAGGAAAGAATTAATAACAAAAGTAATAACAGAAGTTGCACCTGCTGTTGTTGACATTGTATGCATGTGAGACGTGATGTTTTGGTAAAAGCATGTTTGTAAGAGGTGTTGCTTTCCTTGCTGACTATTCTTGGGTCAGCAAAGTATTCTATAAAATGTGTGTACTTCTACAATAAATCTGCTTCTTCTACCTCTGAGAGGAAACTGTGCCGCTGTGATTTCTTTGCCACAGCTACAGCGACACTTGACTAACTCTTTGGTGAAGAGATCTTTCTTAATTTACAATCTAAACCTCTCCTAGTACAAGTTAGACCATTTCCTCTCATCCTATAACTTCTTCCTAGGGAAAAGAGACTGACCTCTACCTCACCACACCCTTCTTTGAGGTAGTGGTAGAGAGCCATAAGGTCCCCCATCAGCCTCCATTTCTCCAGGCTAGACCCTGCTATATCAACCCTTCACCAGCTTCATTGCTCTTCTTTGGATGCAAAGACCAAGAATCCAGCTCATGCATTCTGAGGTCCTTTTGTGATATGAACCAAAGTACCAAACCAAAGTGGAAGATTTGCTTCAAAAGTGCACTGCTGTTTCAGATCAGGACACTGTTTAGGTCCATCTTAGACATTTGACAGATTTGCTCACAAGGTCTGTAAGTACTTGTCAGGTAGTCTTAGGATTGCCCATGGGGTAAACTAAGGTGATGTATGGAAGGAGTCATCCTCTAATTTTTTGTTTAGCATAAGTAACATCAGAAGTAGGCCCTTTAGGTTTGCTATTATGGCAGATCAGAACTAGGGGGAACCTGAGCTTCTGTGCGAAGAAAAGCAGGCAAAGTAAATAATTCTTCCTGGAAATTGAGACAAACTTGTAGTTAGAATTAAACTAGAAGTTGTTTCAGAAATGCTCAATGAAACTGGTACAGAATATCTCTTTCAGTCTTCTGCCAGATCGAGCCCATTGCAAGCACATGACATGTTTTCTAAATTCAGTTAGATCAGCTCACAAAACATTGACAGGAGCTTTGTTCCAGCAGGCTTCACGCCTCATTGTGTATCATCTGTTCTTCTGCAGCCAGCACAAACACATCTACAGTGCACAGAGTGCCTTGGTGAATTTCAGGGCAGTCGGTGCTGCAGCCTCAGAGCTGCCTGATTTGGAACATGCTCCTATTGCTGAGTAAACCAACAGTGCACAGATCCAGCTCTCAGAACCATGGCATTATGACTGTGGGACGCCCACATAAATCTGCTTTCATTCTTTGGTAATGCTGCTTATTAAATGTAGAGTCCTAATTTCCCATACTAATGTTTGTTAAAGTAAATTTTAATGACACTGGGGTGGGCTTTTCTTTCCAATTTTTCCTTCTGTGGCATTTGAAAAATGGCTTTTTAATGACTTCTAAGACAGGAAACTATTATCAGTGTTAGTAGTTCATACTCTCAGAAAACTCATTTTTTTCCTGAACAGATGATATGCTGCTTTCCTTAGGTGTGAAAATGCAAGCAAAATACTCTGCTTTCAAAGCATATAAAGTTTTCTGCTCTGAGACAAAAAAAAGCAGAAAACAGACATAATTAACAATTTGAATGTTGAATAGTTTATAAAGTGAATAAAATTAAAGTTTAAATGTATACAATTTTTCTGAGACGAGTTTTTTTCTGAAGGTGTGTTTTTAGTCTGAGCTGTTAAAATATTGAGTATATATTTAAAAGTTTTGACAGATCTCCTTCCTTTCCACACACAATCACTACTGGCTTTAGTTAGTAGCATAGATACACAAAGACATATTTTAGAATCACCTATTACTTATATTGGAAATAAATATTTGATATTTTCTGAGGGCTCTTATGACACAATATTTATGGTACAGCTAATACAATAACATCCTTCAGTGGAGATATTTTGATAAGTATCTTCCCTGAAACCAATTCAATAAGTTACTTCTTAAAAAATACATTAATATATCTTTTGCCTCTTTGGACATTGACCTGTAGCCCTCAATAATCCTGTGCAATGGTATTAAGCTTTTGCAAAGAATTCCATGAGCTGTTTACCCCTACACTGTATCACAGTTGCATGTGGTGTAATAAAAAATTATGCTACTGAAAACATTTTATGAGTATTGAAAAACTTACCTGGAATACTTTTTCTTTTTTACTGACCCCTTAAAAATCAAGGATTTGTTTTCTCACTTCGTAAGCAGCGGGAAACAAAAAATAAATCTGAGATTAAAATATATTTCCTCTCTCTTAAATGATACACATTGAAAGAAATGAAACATAAGCAAAAATTACTTTTTTCCCCTTGTTACATAGGTTTTCTTTTGTATAGTATTCTCTTAGGAGCAATTGCAATACTGCCAATTAGATAGTGAAATAACAGCTGAAGATAGAGGCAGTGTGCAATGCTATGCAGAATTAGTAAATTCAAGGGAAAGCTCAAACTTTGGCCAAATTTGAATCCCTTCCAAAATGAAAGACTTGAGGCATCTGAAGCACAATTAGTGTGGGTATGTATTTCACATGCTTCTGCTTTACAGAAATGTAGCCACTTTCCAATAGTCTGGTCACTGTGTACAGTACAGCTGTAGTGTCTGAACAGACTATGAATATACAGTCAGGATTCAGAGTCAGAAACTCAGAAATTCTCTGTAGTGTTTCATTCTAACTATATCTCTCTTTTTTTCCCTTTTCTTTTTCCTCTTTTTTTAAAGTCTTTTCCTCTCCTTAAACCTAATTTACTAAGGAAACAAGACTCTCATGACCATTCTCTGGATGTGTCCGAGAGCCATCTCCTTTTTTAAACAGCCTAAGGCAAATTTAACAAAGAGGTGGATTTCTAAAGCTCTTGAGTAATAGTGACTGTCACAAGAAGAGGAAGCCAGGCTACATTTGTGCCCTCACTGAGCAGAAAACAACTTAAAAAATTAACCTATATTGAACACTAGGTAATGCACATTCACCTTGGGAAATCCATGCTTATTGGTAGTGATTCCCCTGATTATTTTGTTTTATTATTAGCTGCATTGGACATTTTCTTCTTATTGCAGACAAACTGCCAGTTTTACATCAGTCTTGGGTGTGTTTTAAACATATATAGTATTTTATATATGTGTATATAGATGCATATATGTTACCTAACCAAAGTATGTTCAGAGAACAGGAAAACTCATCCTATTCCCTCTGTGACTTCAGACACTCTTAATTAATTTTCTAATTTCCAGGCTGAAAGGAAGCTAATGAGCTTTCCATGAGCTCACTGGGTAACCCCATATAGGCCCAACTGCCTTGTGTAGAAAATGCCTATTTTCACCACACGTATTTAAGTCTCATTCCATGTGAAGAGCAGCGCTTTGACAGATGTTGTTACAATGACTGAACTAATGTGTTCTTGGCAAGAAAATAATAGGGCTAATAGCATAGAAATATTTACATCAAAAAACGTTGGTGGTGGGACAAACAGGAAAAAAAAAAAAAAAAAGCAAAACTTAAATTTGGACAGATTGCCCTAACCTTTCCATTCAGATGCTAATGCAAAGTGCTGCCTAAACAGTTACACGGATGGCAGTATTTATTACACCTTCTTTCATATAAACTGTTGAAAAGTTCTTCTCACTTAGTAAAAACTACTGAACAGCAGAGAACTCATGTAAGCCTTGCAGGGTATTTTAGCTGAAATTATTGTTGTGTTTCAACCTATATTTCAGTTTTGGTAGAATTAACTCTGTATTGTGTTGGTGCTGAGGTTGAAAGGTAATTAATCTCTAAGAATAAGTATGAGCTACATTAAAACAGTCAGCTGAAAATTCCTCTGTTGCAGCCTGTCAGGAATAACACATGTTTTGGAATAGACTGCTGCTATTTATTTTTTTGTATTTGTAGCAAAGCACTAGGCTCACTGTTCTGAAAAAGGGCTCTCTGGAACTGAAGAAATGTCCCCAAGATCTTTTGTGGCAGAGCTGCCCTTGATGTCTAATGGGAGGTTTGCATCTAGTAGCACACCAAGCTGTATTCCTGCTTGTTAAATTTCCAGCTCTGGATTGAATCTCACCAACAGTCTGTTTCTGTTTACTCTTGGTGTATTGCTGAGCACAATTAATGCTCTCCTTGCCATGTACCTGTCCAAACTGCTCATGCTGCTCATGCGTGGGTGGATAATCTCCAATGCTGGCATGGTGACACCACTCTTGAGAACTGCAGCTGCATGTCCAGTCATGGACTGAAGGAGGTGAGAACTGTGCAAGCAGTCTGTTAACTGTTGTGGTGTATATCAGGATGAAGAAAATTAGACATGGTTGGGTTCTGCTCTTAACATTCCTGGCTGGTGCAAGGGAATGTGTTCCAGGCCACATTTGCAGTATAAAAGAGGGGTGCTTGAAATGGGACAGAGGCTGGCAGTCAGGCCAACTGCAAAACCCTCTGCAAGAAGCACAGGCACATAGAAATATGTTTAGAAATAAAGGACAGGGGAAGAATCACATGCACATCCTCTGGATCTAGCATTGGAGATGCATGCATCAGTTGTGTGGTACCTACTGCAACTGTGTGGTCTGCAAGCACAATTCAGGGCACGGGGTGGAGACATTTTGGCAGTCCTGTGACAGTAATGCTAATATTGGGTAGTGTTCTCCAGTGTTTTTTTCTAAAAGAGCAACTCTGTTTTTAAATACCAGCTGATTATAAGCTGGTATAATTTCTTTACCTCAGAACTAGTTTATTAAAAGTGGTCATACAGCCCAGGGGTAGTATTTTCATGAGCAAAATTTCTAAAAACAGTAAGAACTTGTTTGTGTGAATTGCTAGGCTAGTATGTCAAGCATAGGAAGAAAAAGAGTTCTGGAAAAAGGACAGGAGTTCAAATATGCTTTTTAAAAATTTTTTAAGCTTGTTTATCAGTGATGTGTATTGAGTCAGGAAGTCATGTTCCTGTGGAAAGAAATATGAGACTTGACAGACATTCAAACTATTTGGGTGACTGGTGGGTGGAACAGTTTGAGTTACTTTTGTATAATTTAACAGACCTTTTTGTATGTGCATGCACAAAGACTATATTTTTGTTTTTACAGTAAAGTAAGTAAAGCAAAATATTAATGTTCTTATTTGCAGAAAAAAATAGAAGGTTGTAACTCAATGTGGCTTCAAAAACCTTTCTATTTTCACATTGTTGCATCCTTGGTTTACAACAGATGTTTTCTAAGGAAAGCAAGCAGTTTCATGCATGCATGGATATTGGTTGAGTTTTACAAGGAAATGTAAAACCCCAGTGATTTGTGAGTTCCTGAAATGTTTCATGAC